TGGGGGATCGAACCGCGGTCCTTGTGCTTTAGCCAAGCTTGTTTCAAGTAGGTGCTTTAGACCACTGAGCCATCTCTCCAGCCCTTTTTTTTTTTTTTTTTTAACAAATGACTCAACTTTATCCTCTTTTATGGTAGAGTAGTATTTCATTGTGTAGAAGTAGCACATTTTCTTTATCCATTCATCTGTTGGTGAGCATAAGGGTTGTTTCCAAGCCATAACTACTGTAAATTGTGCTGCTGTAAACATGGGCATGCATGCACATAGTGCTATGATACTTCTTTTGGGAAGATACCAGAAGGGTATAACTGCATCAAATAGAAACTCTAGTCTTAGTTTTTTGGAATTTTTAAAAATGTATTTAGTATAGGGTATACAGGGTCTCACTACACAGATCGGACTTATAGTGATCCCCTTGTTTTTAGCCTCCCAAGCACTGGGATTACAGGCGCATGCCACTACACCCAGTCTCATTTGTCATCTCAGCGCACCCTGGGGGCAGCTGGCACAGGATGTGGGGGATGGAACCCTGGTCCCAGCACCAGTCTAAGCAGGTGCTTTAATCCACTGAGCTATCTGGCCAGCCCAGTTTTAGCTTTTTTTTTTTGATGAAAGTCCATGCTAATTTCCATAATGATTGACACTCCTACCAGCAATAGAAAAGGGTTCATTTTTACCTTGCTAGCATTTGTTATGGGGTGAATTTCAATTCCTATTTTTTTTATTTTTGAGAAGGGTCCTGCTTTGTATCCCAGACTGGCCTCAAACTTTCAGCAATCCCAAGTGCTAGGATTATAAGTATGCTGCAAAATCCAGCTGTTTGTTTGTGTACTTATTTGCTATACACAGAGATTTACTTGTCTCTACTTATGAGACTGGAAGAAGTTCAGTGCACAGACATATGAACAGGCGTGGACACACTCAGGTAGCCGGGACCCTCAGGACATGAGTCGCCCTTGCTCCACAGGGTTCAGCCCCAGTGGGACTGCTTCAGTTGTCCAGGAAGACCCAGGGTGATGCTGACCTGGCCCCACCTGCTGAGGCCATCTGTAGGGTGCCCACCCAGCTAGGTGGAGGGGCAGTGGCCCCTTCAGTTGGAGTCATAGGCCTCCTGCTCACTGGTGGCATCCACAGCAGAGGCCACACTGTCCTTGTGGCTTTTCAGCCTTTCACGAATCAGCTTGGCAATGGCCTGCTGTGTCCGCTGAGCTCTCTTGAGTCCCAGTCAGGCTTCCGGGGTGCCAGGTCGGCCAGATCCACTTCCTTAATGACAGGCTCAGGCTTGATAGCCTCCAGCTGCTCCTTCATCTTCTCTTCCACTGCAGCTGGTCTGGCCTGAGGAACTCTCCTCCTCTTTAGGTCCTCATCCGGGATGTAGTTCCGCACCCTGAGCTCCCTGTGCTTCTTGCCTGCCTCCTCATCTCGGAGCTGCTTGGTCTTTGGCTCCCCATCCTCCTTGTCCTTGTGCTGGGTTTTCTGCTGTAGAGCCTTCAGCAGTGCCTCTTCCTCTGCCGGCCCACGCCAGTCACAGTGGCTGCCATCTTGCTCACGACCGGCTCCCTATTTTTTTATTTTTGTTTGTTTTTATATTTAGATGTTTGATCCATTTCAATTTTAGTTTACAGCGTGGTGGGCAGTATTGATCTAGGGGTCTTTGTTGGTATGTGCAAAGATAGTTTTTCCAGTGTTATTTATTTATTTATTTATTTTTAAATTTCTTTTTATTTTTTATTTTTTTTGACATCAGTTATTTTTATTTTAAAGAAAAAAAAATAAAATCAATGGTACCACATCTCAAAACAAGATTTTAGGAGAGTAACAATGGTTAGTACATTGTGTATTCTTACTGCCAAAGTAGTTTCTCATATTACAAGATATAGGCAAGAAATAATAAATAAACAACATAGGT